TGGTGTTTTGAGACAGGGTCTCACTATGTAGTTGAGACTGACCTGGAACTCACTGTGTAGCCCAGGCTGGTCTCGAACTCACAGCGATCCTCCTGCCTCAGCTTCCCAAGTGCTGGGATTACAGGCGTTCACCATCACGCGCAGCCAAGTGGTGCCTTTGCAGGTGTATGTGCCACCTTGCCCAGCTTAGCTTTTCTGGAGTTCAAGAATTGAAGCAGGACTGAAGAATAGAGATCTTGCTGGGCAGTGTCAACTACATAGAGACCCTGTCTCAAAAAAACAAAACAAAATGAATTAAATAAATAAAAGAATAGAGATTTAGAAGCAGAATGAGCTACTGTGTAGTGAGTCCTTCTGGAAGAGGACTCAGATCCCCAGAAGTGCCCTGTGACTACTAAAGCACCCAGAGCTAAAGCACACCCTGCCCTTCTCCCCCAACCTTAGGGCCCCCTGGGGTGGGGTGGGGGACCCTCAGGGAGACCTGCTATCTCCAGAGAAGCCCCGTCTTCACGCTATTTCTGCATCAGCACCTGTGTGCACCAGGCTCACCGCCAGTTCTGTCCCAGCCCCCAGGGTGCTGCTCAGTCCCCTAGTTCTGGCCTGGCTCTGAGCGAGGACAGCTTCCCCTGGAGATCATGGATACAGGAGCAGGGAAATCCTTGGGGGCGTAAATACTATCGACTCTTGTGATTTCCACAAGGGAGGAGAAAGCTTGCCATTGTTAGTTCCCATCACATCTTTTTCATAATTTGCTTTTGTAAAGCAAATTCAGAGCTTAGGAAACATGCTGGTATGTTTTGTTTGTTTGACGCTGGGGTTTTATGTATTGAACCCTTCACCCTTACATTGTTTTTTGGGTTTGTTTGTTTTTTTTGGTACTGGGGATCAAACATGGGTCCTTATGCTTGTGAGGCAGGAGGCAGAGTCACTGAGCTAAATCCCTGGGCCTTTCATCCCTTACATTGTATAACTGTGCAGAAAGTAAACCTGGCGGTGAAAGTCCAGGGCTGGCAGAACACGTGGCACAAACTGGGCATGGTGATGCATGCCTATAATTCTAGCCCTGAGAAAGTTGAGGCAGGAGGATCACTGGAAGTTCTAGGGCAGCCTGAATTCCATAGTGAAACCATCTAAAATTTTAAAAGTCACTGGGCTGGGGATTTAGCTCAGTGGTGCTGTTATGGAAGGAACTGGTAAACGCCACACAGAGATGCAAGAGTGGGTAAAACAACAAAAAAAGTTTACTTTGCTACAAAGAGCCTATAGCAAGGACTATGACAAATGACCACCTCTGGGCTGGGTTACAACCTGCCTTTTATAGGAGTTTTACAATCATGACCTCATTTTAGGTAGTTCGATAAAACATTCCAGTTCCCACAGTTCCCATCACAAATCATGGTCTCAAGACAGTTGGATGTTAACCCAAATGTAGCATTCTCTTTTAGGATGTTTATCTTTAGCTGTTCCAGCCCACAAGAGTGGGGGTCAGGGTTAGGAAAGCAGGACTGATGACATTCCTTTCATCTTAATTCCTTTATAGTCAAGATGATTTGCAGGAAGTTTTAGGGCTTAGGGCCTGGTGACTGTTGTCTTAGTTTGAACATCTGGGCGTACCCTGGGATGCGGCTAAGCAACTTCTGCATCTGTTAATTTTAAACTGGGGAGGGGCGGGGATTTAGCTCAGTGGTTCTGCCATCTGCCTTGCAAGTGCAAGGTCTCGAGTTCAATCTCTGGTACCAAAAATAAGTAAAATGAAATTTAGGGCTAGGAATTTATTCCGGTAGTTCTGCCACCTGCCTCGCAAGCACAAGATCCCAAGTTCGATCCCCAGTACCCACCCAAAAAAACGGGCTACATGCCTTCAAGCTTTAATGGTGAAACCTCTAGTATTTTCTTCTAACAAATAAGAGCCAGGCGTGGTGGTGGATGCCTGTAATCCCAGCACTTGACAGGCTGAGGCAGGAGGCAGATCCTCTGGTAATGAGGATTTTCATAAATTCAAGGCCAGCCTGAATTACATAGAGAGACCCTGTGAAAGGAAACCAAGAAAGAAAGCGATTGTGTTGGCAGCAGCAGGGCACACGTGTACTCCCAGCTATTCTGGAGACTGAGGCAGGAGGATTAAGAGTTCTAGGCCAAGGGCAGGGGATTTAGTTCAGCGGTTCGGTGGCCTGCCTTGCAAGCACAAGGACCCGAGTTCAATCCCTGGTACCAAAAAAAAAAGTTCCAGGCCAGCCTAGGGAATTAGACTGTCTCATATTCAAACCTTTTTATCCCTAAAACCGATCCCTAGCAAAGGGGATTGGATTTGTGTGACTAGTTTAGGCTTGAACTAGTTCAGGTCTATCCCTGGAATGGGACTGAGCTCGCAGGTAGCACCTGAGCGAGAGGCAGGAATGGTGGGACGGCCACCACGATGGCCACGCTGGACCACTGCTGACCCCATCGGGACAGGCGGGCAGCTTCCAGGTGCCCAGTCAGTTCTGTCTGTCACTGAGGAGCCCCAGACTGGCTGCAGTTTTATGGGTTAAGCTGTCGAACAAAGAGAAGGTAAGAGTTCAAATTTAGCCAAAGAAGTTTCTTTTCTCTTTCCAGGGATAACTCTTGGTGCTGTCTGGAAGAAAGCTCTTGGAATCATAAGAGGAGAAAATTCCTCCATATCCTGTGGGCAGGTCTGATCTCTGATCACCTGGATGGAAATTTCACTCTGTCCTTATGAAGTGGCCTTATCAGGTGACCCTTGCTTGAGCTGGCCTGAAGCCAGGCCGACCCCCGTGAAGCTAAAATCATTATTAGTTATTCTGTGGCTTCCCTCAAGTTTTA